ACCTTTCTGTATCCACTCGCCCCAACCATGACTACTGGGTTAGTTTACCCAGGGTTGTCCACCACCTACAATAACTTAACCTGACGTTGAAATACTGTAGAGGGCAGCAACCATAAAAGTGGTCGATCATATTTTTTTTTGTACAAGGTTTATGTCGAAAAATCAATTTACCTTCGCGAAAATGGTATCGCCCAGGCTATCTTTTGCATTAACGATTTTGCAATGTCTGGCTGCTTTTTGCAAAGCGTGGCTGACCTCGCCTCGCTGCCGGTCTGCAGCAGGATGCAATTGGACGCAGCACGTGTTCGCCACGAAGGCTTTTTATCGCCATTTGAAGGACGCCCTCTAGAACATGGTAGTACTCTTCGTGATCAACGACATAACGCGGTAACTCCAAGAGTTCCTCATTTTTAAAGTGTTTTTAGTGCAATATAGTAATAGGCCTATACAGAATATTGTTATGAAAGAACATTTTCATGAAAAATCCAGATACACTACAATAATGCACACATCTGCATATTGAAGAACATAAGATAAAATTAAAAAAAACAAAAACTCTTGTATAAGGCAGTAAACACACGCTCCCGATGGGAGCCTATCTTTTTTTTCTTTTTTTTTTCCCAGTGTCAATCAAGCTTAACATTTGACCAATCTCAACAGGGCCAAGGTGTGTAACACCACTGATCTCTACTATATAATAGCTGGATTGCTCATTGACTAATCCTGGTAGGCCTACGGAAAAAAGTGAGGCCTCTACACTATCAAATTTCATTTAAAAAAAAAAAAAAAAAAAAAAAGCGTCACCAAATTAATTTTTTTATTATGCCCCCCATTCCCCTGAAATCTCCAAAAACAAGATACTGTATTATATTTCTTTAAAATAATTTAAAGCATTATAAAACTCATACTACAGTAGTACTACACTGTTTAATTCATTAAATTATACAATTTTTTTAATTATTATTTTCTCCTCCACCTACACTGTGCCTGGTTGTCTGGTAAATTCCAACTATTTCTGTCAGGAAGTCCACCTACCTCAACCAAAGACAAAAATATAGACAAAAATTAAATACATTTTTGCATCGTCTCACTATTAATTAAAAGGGATTGTAATTTATTCGGCTGCGTGATATACTGTTGAGTTATTATTTTGATTTATTATGTCACGATGTACGGTTAATCAAAAATCAATCGCAGAGAGAATATACATGGGCGTTGATTCTTATAACCGTATTGGAAGACATATATAATTTATTATTATTATTATTAAAAAGCATTTATATAGCGCCTTTAAAAAAATCAAAGCGCTGTAGGCCTACATTAAAACCCATTATTACATAGATAAAAAGTACAATATTTTAAATCTATCAATAAAAATGGCAAGTACAAATTACAACAATTTTATTATATTTAGTATTATTACATAGATAAAAAGTACAATATTTTAAATCTATCAATAAAAATGGCAAGTACAAATTACAACAATTTTATTATATTTAGTTATTTAAAAAAAATTTAAAATCACAAAAGACAATTATGCATATTTAATTAATTTCCTGGTGGAAGCAAAATCACACCAATCAAGTTTGGTTTTAGTCAGAATACAGTTTTTGAAGGAATTGAATTATTCTGCTTCCTTTAAGAATAAGTTATATTATGACCAAGTTGTTACCATAATATGAATTTTAACTGTAATATTATTAACTAAGACCAATCAACACATAACATAAAACATGTACATATCAAAATTAATATGTTTAATCATTCCTTCCTATTTGCATAAAAAGTAATGTCTTGGAATTTGGATCTAACCTGTGTATAATGATATTAAAAAACAATCGAAATTCTCTGTACTATATTATGTTTAATATTATCAGAGTGAACTTCGTTATGTTGTGGTCATATTAAACTGTAATGTTATTATTAAAGAAGTCTATTCAACAAACAACAAAAAACATATCAAAGTTATTAGGTTAAAGTTCTCATGTCGGTGCATGCATAAACGTAATTTCCTAAAATTTAGATCTGAAATTGACAGACAAAATTCTCTATACCGTACTATATATACTAATTTAACGAGTGGACTTCATTCATTTAAGGAAATATATATGTATTGAGATACGCAAAGTTTAGTAGGTTAGAAGTTTAAAGGAGAGAACTGTAGTGGTCATTTTAGACTGTAATATTATTAAAAACCATTTAAAAAAAACATAAAACATATCAAAATTATTAAGTTAAACTTTCCACTTCGGTGCACGAATATAACGTAATTTTGGGATATATGAGATTTACATAACATTTGAGAATGTACTGAATATAAAATCTTAAATATTTTACATTTTAATCAGCAATTTATCAGAAATACGGAGATTGGCTATATTTTAAAGCCTTCTGAACCCCTGCAATACTAAAACTTGGATCAAACAGACATTGAATATTCCATTTTGATTTAGTGTAGATGTATTTTTGCATGTTTTTATTTAATTTGTATTGTTTTTATTTTGTATGATTCATATGTTATATTTTCCACAGACAGATAAATGAATGCCTGAACTGATATTATTTTATAGGTTTCATATTACTGTACTTTCTATACAAAACAGATATCATAAATCATCTATTTGTCCGACTGAGTGCATTGAACATTTGACGACGACGATAATGTCTCCAAATTCCCAACCGTAACTTAGACTACAGGCCTCGCTTCACAGTTCACATCAAAGGGCCTGTTAATTAGGCCTAATCTTGCACAGCTTCCTCCTCCTTCTCATCATCATAATTATTAATTGCCCATAGCAAAGTAGGGAAAAACTATGAATTTAGAGTGTATTCAATAATAGACGTCTCATAATTCACGAAGTGTATTTCAAAGCATCTAGGAAACAATAACTTTTCGAAGGAGGAGCCAAACACCCCACCCCTTCCAGCCCCATATCTAAAATTTGTTTTCGAGCGACAAACAAGCCCCTGGAACACTTTCGAGAAGTTTTGAGCGACGCCCGACCACGCCCATTTCTTTTCGTCGGGGACCTCAGACCCCCGTCGGGAAGTCCTGGCGCAACTACTGCAGCTAGGCCATCGGTCGGGCCGAAGCCCAGACCTCTAGGGTTGACCGAATTCATGGAAACCGGAACCCGTCAGGGCAGGGGTAGGTGATTATACCATACGTATGATTAAAATGTTTTTGGTTCAATTTTATGTATGGTATTGGTGTTGATATTACTTGCAGGCGCCTATTTATTGTATTATTGTAGAACGAAATTGCAGTATATTAAAGGGGAAGAATAACCTAAAGATCAAAGCATTCTTACCTTCTCGTCAAAGCTACCTACAAAAACAAAGAAAGCTCCTTTGAAGCTTTAATTAAGCCATTGTTAATAAGCAATGGGTGTAGCCTACGTATAGCAAACGCTTCTTTAAACAATAGGATAGACCAGATTTGGGAACTGTCAATAATATTAGAAAATATTAAACTTAATTTATTACTTACATTACAGGCCATATTCTTACATTACTGGCCATATTATCATTTTCAAGTACCGTATACCTTGTAAATCTAACCTAGACTATAATTTACGAAAGAATGAGGCCAATATTGCAAGTCTGCGTTCATGAATCGAAAAATAAACGATAAGAGATATTAAAGGGGAAGTATACTCACTTAAGCCAAGGAAATTGTGATCTTTTATTAGCGTTGACCTTCTTAAACAAAATGAAGTGTTTCATGTGATTGTACTTATAGTATATGGGATTGAGTAAAGATAACGTAGGGCCTATAGCGTAATCTGCCGACAGAAATACATTTTTTCGAGAGATGGCCGGGGCCAAAGCGCCTACCCCACCGTCAGAGGTAGCTGCCTTCAGAATAGATAGATTTGTACTTTGAAACTGAAATCTGATATTTATACCCTCTACCCTCAGGTTCACTTTTACTTTTTGTTTGGCTTGATGTTTCAGGTACAGTAACATAGAAAAGTAAATTTTACAGGCCGACACAGAGCATACCGTAAAATTTCGAATTGAAGCCCTGGCCATCTTCTTTTTATTGCGAACTTTGGATGGGCTTCTTTTCGAGTTGGGCTTCTTTTTCAAGATGGGCTCCTTTTCGAGGCTATTTTTGCAAAGTAAAGAGGGGGGATTCTTTCCAAAATGAATGCTGAAAAGTTTGTGTATTTATCCTATGAAACCAGTTGATGTTACAGTGACCTATAAGGTCACTGTAACATCAATCTGTATAATGGAGTGGATATAACTGGCATTAAATCACCTAAATTACTGAATAAACTAAGCATGTTTTTAATTTATTTTGTTTTTTTAAATTCATGTACAGTGTATGTACTGTACTCTCGAAAAGAAGCCTATGCTATCTTGAAAAAAAGCCCATGGACTTCATTTCGAGACGGGCTTCTTTTTGAGGCTAATTTTGCAAACTAAACATTGGGCTTATTCGAGGTTTTACGGTATGCTGTTTATATGTTCTTATAGCATAACATTATTCGCTTTGGGCCGCATGCCAGACATGCTGGCATCATAATATTTATTAAGCTGGGCAAGGAACCACATGACCAACCAAACAACTATTAATTTTAATTCACCGACTATATCCGGCCAAAACCGGTCGTTTGCTGACATATTTGACAACAGATTCTCTAAATTCGAAGTAAGGAATTCAAAAACTTTCTCTGTGTGAATTAACTGATTGATTGGCTGAATAATAATATGTCATAAGGCAAGCCTTCTATTTCAGGGTATAGCGTCAATAACAATTTTATTACCATACATTTTTGTTTTATAACTGTCTCTATAACCGACTTGAACTTCGAACTTTTTTATATATTCCTAAATGTATTATATTTTACTACATGGTGCCAATTGGAATTGCTGTCGTTACTCATCTTTGACCATAGGTACCGCCACTTCGAATTACAGTAGAACCCATATAAGAGGACACCTTCGGGACCAAAAAAGTGTATTAAAAGATATAATTTCGCTCGCTTTGTGGCTAAAAAAGTTTTCCCTATAGTAGGAGTTTCCCCTTAATAGAGGTGTCCCAAAGGAGGGGTTCTACTGTATACAGTAGGTCCTCCATTGCCACTCACACTACCCCGTCAGAAAAATTCTGGATCCTCCGCTCATTTGCACTTTTATAACGAGGATTAGACCTAGTTAGACCTAGTTACGAGGATTAGACCTAGTTAGAAAGCTAGTCACTGAAATAATGGACTTTCAGATAAGCCCCGCCCCTTTGATATTGCTGCTGAAGGTCCTAAAAATACGTAAACACGCACGTTTGCTGGACAGGAGTAGCGCCAGGATTTGCTCGGCGGGGGAGGGGTTTTGAGGTCCCGCGACGGGGTCAGATGCCCCGATGAGAGCAAAGCAGCGGGGTCGGACGTCGCTCAAAATATTTCGAAAATGGTCAATATTTCGAACATTTTGACAATTTAAAGGTTTTAAATATAGGCCTCTAATTTTTTTTTATCCCCGGCATATTGTGATTTTCTCTCCGATAGTGTACTTCCCCCGCCCCCAACCGCTGGCGCCTCCCCTGACAGCACGTGCGTTTGCAAGACACGCGCGTATTTCTCGCCCTGTTCAGTTGATAAGATTGATTGACACTACGGAAAGGTCTATTAATTACTTTAGTTCTATAACTTGTTTATTACCACTACTTGTTAAGGATGCAAAGTGCATCTATATTTAGGGAACCAATCAAAGCACCCAATAGAGGGTTAATAACAGTGTCGCATATGTCACCAGCATTCAATAGTCTAACCACGTTTCACGGGAACGCAACTGCTATGACTTTTTGTTTCTAAATTGACATATAGACAGTATTGTGCCACTAGGCCTATCTCCAAAACGTTGTGACGAAAATGGACAGGAATCGGATTGCATTGATTGTTATTATAAGTGTCGTGGCTGTAACTATTATCGCTGTGGCAATTGCCGTACCAGTTTCACGTAATAACCGCGAAACCACACCGGACTCACTGCAACGCGCCCAGGAGCTTATGATGGAAACGCCTCTTATAGATGGGTATGTGCAAAGGCTTGTTTGTTTGGGTCTTAATTGTCACTATAACAACTCCCTGATTGTAGGTATACTGTACAATACAGTGGTGTAACTAGGGGTGCGCATCCCCCTCGCACACTAGTAGTTAAAAATCAACTCATATCACCCTATTTTTTGACCTAGCTCCCTCTTTTTAAACGCCAATTCAAACCCCATTCCACCTTCGCGCCCCACATCATCATCCCCCACCCCTCTATTTCAAGACTCTTTCATACGCCTCTGTCGGTATGTCTATACAATTCTTATTCTATTAAATTACCTGTTTTATGCTTCAAACTAACCAATACGAGTTGTTTATTTTATTATTAGTGTTTCATTGCCGTATGCTTTCCATTTTTTCCGGGGTTACATACTTTCAGGGTGATTTAATGTTTAAAATGCTATTGGTTCCCGCACAATGCAAATGTACCTGAACTATAGCCAACTGAACGCAGGGAGGAGCAGTGCGACCCCTAAGTCATGAATGAATGCACTGAACCTAGCACAACCATCTCGAGTGCCTGTCAGTTGAATGGGACTGCCTACCTTACTCCCCGCATCTTGTACTCGCATAGTACATGCAATTTACCGCTGCCAAGCAATCATCATAATGCCGCAAGGCCAAGCAGCCAGCGACAGAGGTGGCGCCAGCGTAGGGAACCGGGGGTGGGGAAGGTAGGTTCCCCCCGCCGGGAAGAAAAAACCCAATTTGTCGGGGAGAAAAATATTTATTTTCTACATATTATTAGACGTCAAAATCATTAAATAAACCTTTGAAACCCCAAATTGCCAATTAGGAAAAATGATAAACATATCAGTCACTATAGCGCTTCAACAAATACTTGTGTGTAAAACGTTTCCGGCAGGATCGATTTGGACCACTCTGTACACGCCCTTTTTTTCATGACAATTCTATAGAATGTAGCTGTTCTAGTTTTAATGCAACACCAGTAAATAATTACACATCTAGGCCTATTAGTAAAATGTCTGGGCTGTTTATATAATTTTATATAATCCTCAAGACTTTTTGTTTTTCTTTTTACACCATTCTGTATTATTTAATGCATATCCTGACGTTCCTAGACTATAAACCGAAAGGTCTTGATTGATGTCAGATTAGATATTATAATGGATACTCCATAGAAATGCAAGCCACCATCGTGTAGGGATTGAATATTTCAACTATGTCATCATCAGGAATGGAAAATTATCTATATTTGCAGGCTTATATAAGGCCCAATAAAAAAAATTATTAGTTTATCACCCTCGCGCGCATGCCTTTTATGGTACTGAAAAAAAATAATTGTTGAAAAAATTTTTTTTTGAAAAAAAAACAACCAATTTTTGAACATTTTTAAAAAATATTTTATTTATTTATTTTTTTCATTTATTTTATTAAATAGTTAGTAGATATTGTTTGCATTATCTAAATCATGTTTTACTTTGAATATCAATGCACCAGCAAACAACCCAAGGGTGATATTTGGCTTTACCAAAGTAAAAATTTTTTAAAAAGCCTCCCTCATCACTTTTCCTGCCCAGATAGGGTGATAAACTAATAATATTTTTTATAGGGCCTAAACAAGTACTAAAAGTGTTTAACCAATCAAAACATTACCTCAGGTGACAAAGCTGTGACTAAAGATCAAAGCATTCTTACCTCCTAATTAAAGCTACCTACAAAAACAAAGAAAGCTCCTTTGAAGCTTTAAGCCATTGTTAATAAGCAATGGGTGTAGCCTATGTATAGCAAACGCTTCTTTAAACAATAGGATAGATCAGTGTTGGGAACTGTTAATAATATTAGAAAATATTAAACTTAATTTATTAGGCCTACTTACATTACAGGCCACATTATCATTTTCAAGTATACCTTGTAAACCTCACCTAGACTATAATTTACAAAAGAATGAGGCCAATATTGCAAGTCTGCGTTCATGAATCGAAAAAAAACGAACAGAAACCACAAGAGATAGGCCTATTAAAGCGGGAAAGTAATACACACTTAAGCCATGGATATTGTTATCTTTTATCAGCGTTGACCTTCTTAAACGAAATGAAGTGTTTCATGTGATTGTACTTATAGTATCAGGGATTGAGTAAAGATAACGTAGGGCCTACTTAATGTGCCGACAGAAATACATTTTTTTTAATCTGAGATGGCCAGGGCCAAAGCGCATACTTCACCGTCAGAGCATGGACTTAATAATAGGTCCATGGTCAGAGGTAGCTGCCTGCAGAATAGATAGATTAGTATTAGTACCCTCCTATTTAGGGGACGGGGACATTTTCTGAGTGTGCCAAATGGTTAAATAACCCCTATTGAAGGGACACGGTATTGATTTTAAATAACATGTGTGTTTAATTGAACCACATTTTGTCTTAGTGTAGGCTATGTCATGGATTAATTTCTCATTTTCTAGCCCTTTTTCAGTACAAGATACAAAATCTGGATTCAATACTTGTCATAAAGGTGCGTCTTTAATAATTACTGGGCTAGTACTTTTATTATTGGAATACATATCATAAGGATCATGAGATTTGCTCTTATAATACATTAATAGCTGAAGCTTCCAAGGGGAGGGGTTGCACATGTAATAAGTACACCCTCCCACACCCCATGAACAAATTCCCCCGTTTTTTACTATCAAAATGTTGGCATGTATGAAAACTGCATTATTTCTTTTTCGAAAGAAAATATGTCGATTGAAAAAGATTTTATTACAAACTTAATAACACATTAACCAGTTCAATGGAGATATTCACATGAAATACGGATGGCAGCTGTCTTTGCTCAAAATGACTGACATTTTTTTTCAGATGCATATCAAATGTTTTTACAATATCAGCCACTCCGGTATTAATCTAGAAATTACATAAGAGGCCCTTAATTAGCAGATCAACATATCTTGTTAGAACAACACAACTTGTGTTATGCTATTCTTCTCTGCCATCTACACATTTGAAACTTGAAATTATTTCATTAGGTATTTATTCACTTTGCTTAAGAATATTCAAGTCTTTTGCATTGATAAACATTATTATTGTTTAAGAGTTAACGTAACAATATTAAAAAATGTACTGGTAGATGTTAGTGTTAGTAAATATCTACATGGTGTAGCGGAAGCTGGTATAGACAAACATGAACAAGAACAAGAACCACAATGGAACCATTACACCAACCCACTCTCTCATCATTAATGATTAAATTGGTAGGCATACATACCACCCATGCCTTTCAAATTAGCCTCATTGTATACTACTATTTTTTAAATTAAATTCAGTTAAAGTGCTTGAACAGACGTCTACACCATAAAAATCTGCCAGAAAATTATAGTTAATTCTTGCGCTATTATTTCTGGAACTAACATTTAGCCAACAACACTATGACTGCTTTGGGTGCTGGAAGAGTAAAATATGTTGTTGGCATGACCCATTAATATTGCTCCCATCAACAATTCTTTTTTGACTGAGATAATATTTTAATTGAAGTGAAAAAAATCATATTAAGGTAACCACAGTACTTTCAATGTTCCTATTTTTTCATTTGCAATAACCAACATTGATATAAGGTATGGCAAGTAAGCAGTAGTTTTGTGTCTCAAGGCAGTCTATAACATACAGTAGCATGTGTGTCTGTCACTTTGAGGCATCCTAATTTAACATCTTCCGACAATTGCTGACCTTGGCATCTATTCCCTAAACAATAACCAACTTTTTAAACTGCATTCTCCAAATGGATGTGCTACGGAAGCTTATAGTGACCTTCCAGATGTTCAGATGACGAGATCCAGGATCTTATCATCTGATCATTTTTTCTAAATGATGTACACATACCGAGATCCAGGATCTCGTCATCTAATCATCTCTTCTAAAGGATGTACACATAACGAGATCCAGGATCTCGTCATCTAATCACCTCTTCTAAAGGATGTACATATGACGAGATCCAGGATCTCGTCATCTAATCATCTCTTCTAAAGGATGTACACATGACGAGATCCAAGATCTCGTCATCTAATCATCTCTTCTAAAGGATGTACACATGACGAGATCCAAGATCTCGTCATCTAATCATCTCTTCTAAAGGATGTACACATGACGAGATCCAGGATCCCGTCATCTAATCATCTCTTCTAAAGGACGTATACATGACGAGATCCAGGATCTTGTCATCTGATCATCTCTTCTAAAGGATGTACACATGACGAGATCCAGGATCTCGTCATCAGATCATCTCTTCTAAAGGATGTAAACATGACGAGATCCATGATTTCAACATGTCTACATCATGTAGAATAGATAATCAGATGACGAGATCCTGGATCTTGTCATCTGATCATCTATTCTACAGGATGTAGACATGACGAGATCCAGGATCTCGTCAACTGATCATCTCTTCTAAAGGATGCAGACATGACGAGATCCAGGATCTCGTCATCTAATCATCTCTTCTAAAGGATGTAGACATGACGAGATTCAAGATCTCGTCATCTGATCATCTCTTCTAAAGGATGTAGACATGACGAAATGAAGGATCTCGTCATCTAATCATCTCTTCTAAAGGATGTACACATGACGAGATCCAGGATACCGTCATCTAATCATCTCTTCTAAAAGACGTATACATGACGAGATCCAGGATCTTGTCATCTGATCATCTCTTCTAAAGGATGTACACATGACGAGATCCAGGATCTCGTCATCAGATCATCTCTTCTAAAGGATGTAAACATGACTAGATCCATGATTTCAACATGTCTACATCATGTAGAATAGATAATCAGATGACGAGATCCAGGATCTCGTCAACTGATCATCTCTTCATCTCTTCTAAAGTATGTACACATGACAAGATCCAGGATCTCGTCATCTAATCATCTCTTCTAAAGGATGCAGACATGACGAGATCCAGGATTTCGTCATCTAATCATCTCTTCTAAAGGATGTACACATGACGAGATCCATGATCTCGTCATATAATCATCTCATCTAAAGGATGTACACATGACGAAATCCAAGATCTCGTCATCTAATCATCTCTTCTAAAGGATGTACACATGACGAGATCCAGGATCCCGTCATCTAATCATCTCTTCTAAAGGACGTATACATGACGAGATCCTCTGATGATCTCTTCTAAAGGATGTACACATGGCGAGATCCAGGATCTCGTCATCAGATCATCTCTTCTAAAGGATGTAAACATGACTAGATCCATGATTTCAACATGTCTACATCATGTAGAATAGATAATCAGATGACGAGATCCTGGATCTTGTCATCTGATCATCTATTCTACAGGATGTAAACATGACGAGATCCAGGATCTCGTCAACTGATCATCTCTTCATATCTTCTAAAGTATGTACAAATGACAAGATCCAGGATCTCGTCATCTAATCATCTCTTCTAAAGGATGCAGACATGACGAGATCCAGGATCTCGTCATCTAATAATCTCTTCTAAAGGATGTAGACATGACGAGATTCAAGATCTCGTCATCTGATCATCTCTTCTAAAGTATGTACAAATGACAAGATCCAGGATCTCGTCATCTAATCATCTCTTCTAAAGGATGCAGACATGACGAGATCCAGGATCTCGTCATCTAATAATCTCTTCTAAAGGATGTAGACATGACGAGATTCAAGATCTCGTCATCTGATCATCTCTTCTAAAGGATGTACATATGACGAAATGAAGGATCTCGTCATCTAATCATCTCTTGTAAAGGATGTAGACATGGTGATATCCAGGATCTCCTCATGTGATCATCTCTTCTGAGGGATGTAGACATGACGATATCCAGGATCTCGTCATCTGATCATCTCTTCTAAGGAATGTAGACATGATGAGATCAAGGATCTCGTCATCTGATCATCTCTTCTGAAAAATGTAGACATGAGGAGATCCAGGATCGCAACATTTGATCTTCTTTCCTACAAGATGTAGACACGACGAGATAATTATCTAGACATCTGGAAGGTCACTGTAAGCTTCCGTAATGAATGTGCCCTAGATGATTTGATTTTACCAAAAGATAAAATCTATCATATACCCATGTTTTATTGCCAAATTTCGTTCGATGTCATATTACAGTAATTGGTTTTGCTTTTTTCTTTTAACCGTTTGCACTAAATCTTGAACATCATATCTGTCGAATTTTTAGCAAAGTTGGACTGTTTTATCTCATCTGGTTTGTAATCGTTAATCTGTGTCTTTGATGCTGTCATTATTTATGATTCATATATTGAACATGTTAAACTCTAACAATTAGCAAAAATAAGGAAACAACCTGTGTCCAAAGTATTTCCTTTGTTCTATTAACTTGATACGTTGTCCCCAATCCCACAGGTATATTTTGGTTTTGCCACATGGTAAAAATACTAATGAAGTAGATCCAACTATAATTTTTTTTAATAACCCATAGTGAACAAAAATATGTACTGTATATAGTTTGCATCTGCATTAGGTTTACCACATTTAATACAATTGTTGGAAGAAGTTCATTTAGTTATCTCATCGATATTTACGTTAAAGTTCTTAGATATTTAGACTTAAAAAAACATACGTATGACAGTTTTGGTCACCGTTCTCAAACTAAAGTGTAGAAATCTGCATATCTATCTCCAGCTTGCCGACTGGTGGTATTGTGTCGGCAGACCTCTCCTGGTCTGGTGTAAGCAGGGGTCCCTGGGTCTTGTTGTGGGTCAACAAAAATTGTTTCTACACATGGGACAATTGGTGTGCTCCCTTGTCTCTGTTCATATTTGTTTTTCCTTCTAAACCATTTAGATTCTTATTCATCTACTGCCGACATCAGTTCCCCGTGTAACTTGTAGTATTTCCAATCTGGGATGTGGTTGTGTGTGAACATATGTCCAGTGATTGCTGATTTGTGAATGTCTCATTAGGAAGAAACATGTTGGCTCTAGTTTGTAACCCTTTATTTATATTTTTCAACCTCATTCTATGTTCACCTAAGCGGTCAAACTTTTACTATTGTCGCAATGACCACATAATAACTCTACAAGGTGTTGTGTGCTCATGGAATCTTGTTTTTAGAATGCACTATTGATCTCTCAACTTATTTTGATGTCTGAATCATGTATTATAGTTGTGAGTGCTTATACGATCTGGTCCTTTCCGATAGACCACTGACATCCAGAATCATGACAATGCCCCTTTGGATTTCTCTTTATTACTTCACAGGTGTTGGAGAGGTTCGACCCAGAAAATACAATATATAAATGATATAAAACAATATAAATCAAAACACAGTATAAAGTTAATACAGATAACAGCTGTTTACATTAAGTTAATAAATAAAAGAAAAATTATAAAAAAAATTAAAAATTAAATGTGGTGGAAATTTCTTTCATTAATTTATGTCTATCAGCAATGGCCCTTGGATAAAATAGATTTACAATGTTTATCAAAAATCATACAAATTTTATCATCTTTATACATATAAATATTGTCTAGAAGTAGATGATGTTTTACTTCCTGTGAACCTTTTACAAAAATATCCCAAAAATATTTAATAATATTACATAAATCATTTTTTAGGTTGCTAAAGCATATATTTCTTATGGTGGATAAACTTTCACAATTAAAGAAGAAATGATCGACCCTATTAAGGGGACACTTTTTTTAGGTCCCGAAGGTGTCCTCTTAATAGGGGTTCTACTGTATGTCGTTGCTTGTGATTACGTCTTCCTTCGTATAGGAGGTTAAGCTGTTGGTCCTACGTGTATAATAACGCATGCGCATGAAAAGAATTTAGATTGGATTGGATTTTATTGCTTCGGTGTGGTACAGACCAAGGTTGACCCACGAAATTCCTGAGACTTATTTCCAATGGGATCCTTTTGGTGGTGAATTGGACAGAACACCAGGAGATAATCTTTTTGGAGGAGTGTACTAAAAGTGCTCAAATAGAAACATGTTGTAATAATCGTATCAAGCATCTCATCAACGAAAAATTACTTTATTTTTAAATTATTTCATTTTTACTTTATTAGTTATATGAAAAAAAACATATATTTGGTGGGATTCGAACGTGCAACATCGCTGCCATTAGACCACAAAAACCTATATACATGCAGTTGACCTCGGGCATTTTTTCTCATACAACTGGCAGAAACGCTCACATTTAGTGGAGCAGTAGAAGTTAAGCTAGAAAAGCTTATAGGTCGCAATTGGTAAATTCTAGTAAATAATATTCAAATGAAGGTTGCTGCACGTAGCACTATAAACACAATAGAAACAAATAGATAAATTATAACAACGGTGCTCAGATATTAACATGTTGTAATAGTCGTATCAAGCATGCTCACCAACGAAAAGTTCCTTTATTACAGTTACAGGAATTCGAACCTGCAACCTCTCGCTGTCTAGGCGAGTATCATACCCATTAGACCACAGAGAATTACGGGATATACATGCAGTTTTTAACCCCCAGGCACTTTCCCTCATACAATATAATGAAACGCTCATTTTGTGACCCTATTACTTTTAATTTTCACACCATTTTACTTGCACTAATATAAATTTGTTATCAGGGCATCATAGTGTGATTTTTTTTTATTGCCAACATTATGCATAATATAGATAGGCCCTATACCCCTCCCACACTAGACCTATAATGGCTTAGGATTCACTATCATTATTATCTGTCGTCACTATCAGAAGAATAGGGGGTTACCCCGATGTTATGGTTCGTCTAAGCCCCTGTCGTTGTGGAATGATGTGAACATGCATCTACCATGAAGCACCTGCAACTTGAACCTTCGTCGTTATCGTCATCGTTATTATTACTATTATTTAAATATCATTTTCATTATCATTATTACCACAGACACAATGATTTACCATGGCAATTGAAAAACCGTGCAAACAACCGACTAGAAGACCCACTAAACAATCTGAATGAAGATTTAACAGGAAAGTTCTCACCATCGCACACCGATATCCCAAGACTCAAAGCTGGCAAAGTCGGCGCTCAGGTAACGCTTTGCAATGTGCATGCGTATTATCTTTTGATCGTATAGAAACATGATACTGCTGCATTTACTATCAAAATATGAATTATTAGTTACAGTACAAACTTTCGTAAATACTGACTAAGCAATATTTGCGGAATATTTGAGAGTTCAATATTTTTTTTAAATATTGTTTTTTTAGAGTAATAATTGTTTTACATCGCACATTATTATTGCGATATTCTGATTCAGAGAATGTGTATGCAATGTTTACCATGAGGGAAAAATATCTGTAGGGTCAATAATCGAGCATAATTATAACCATTAGGCATAGCACTGTACTGCTACTGCAACTGTCAATGCTGCTGAAATTACTAGGCCTTCTACTGCTGCTGGTAGTGGTGGTACTTCTACTGCTGCTGCTACTTTTTCATTCATTCTGTTTTTTTGTTATCAAACCTCATAGCAGTAAAATATTACTGAATTGCGAGCAGATTTACAAAATGTACAAAATACAAAATTATTAAAAGATAAAATACTATTAAAATGCAACAAGTGAGAAAGTCTAAACGCAGAGAAAAAGGACTGATACAAGAGAAAAAAAAAGAGAGAGAAAAAAAAATCCAGCAACAATTAGAATCACGACAAAAACGTACATTCGGAAAAGGACAAACAAGAAGACATTAGCATTAGGAAAACCAATTCACACCAAAAGCAATTAGCATCACGACAAAAAGAAAAACATCAAAACGTACATTAAGAAAAGGACAACAAGAGGAAAACAGACACGAAGACATTTACCTAACGAAAGCCAATTCACATCATGACAAAAACAACAAACAATACATTAAAAACAATATATATAGGCCTATATA